TTCTGAGGCAGGGCCTTAGCGATTCTGGCGAAGATTTCTGCATCACTGCGATCTACTTATTTCTCTAAGATCTCACGAATTCGAAGGAAAACCTTTTCAAGTGATCTAGGTGGCCCTTTGCTGGTATCATACTTCCCGCGTTGTTTTACTGTCGTTGGACGGCTCTTGCTGGAAATCGAAGTCGATGAGTGATCTCGGAGGCACTTGGACCTCTGTGCGTCAGATGAGCGGAAAGGGCGCTGAGAGCGACGAAAAGCGATAATACGAGAGGAACTGCTTCAGGACTTTCAGTTTCTAAGATGAAGCATAGCTCTCTGATTGAAAATCGACAGCTGATTTGAAATGGAGTTTCAAAGTGTGCGCCTACAATACCTGTAAGTACCCATCGCGGAGATTTAGGATCCTGTTGCATAGGCTACAGAATCGCCACCTCACCACCACAAACAAGCTCGCCCCATTGCTGAGCTGTGTGCGCTTCTTCGCTTCGGTTTTAAGTTGAGGAGCTAGGTCATCTGAAGCCACCAACGGGGAGTCAGTTTAGCGGTGGTCTCAACCAAAACCTGCCTTGAATTTAAGGTGACTCATACTGTGGTTGCGATCTATGACAAGTTTCTGGACGCTTCTGGTCTAGGAGGAACCATCTGACGGTAAAATGATATTGGGGCAGGAGGGAGGGGAAGGGGGTAGTTCACACTGATCTTTGACTTTTCCAGGCTTGACGAAGGCGTTAACGCCAAAACTTTAGCCGAATTTGTATATGTATTGTTATATCATCTTGGCTACGGCTACAGCACCCTACAAAATCTCGCTACCACTGTACTGCTATCTATTCTTCTATGAAGAAATCACAATGTTTATAGATATACCAACCATGTTTTAAAGACGGGTTCATCGGAGGAGGAGTTGAACTGATCTTATCGAATACGGAAGACGGCTGTAAAATTCGAGTAGTACATGTGACCTAATGAAGCCTAAAAAACTCACCCTTTCTATTTCCAATAGATTTTCGTATGTGTCATTCAAAGATGTATTGACCTCTGATGGACGGTCGTCTTCGCTCTTCTCAAACGATGGACTTCTCAGTTTGAGTGAAGCTGAAAGTCAAAGATTACGACGGTTGTAGTGGCAATGCATTTCTGTACTTCTGAATTGGTGCCAGTAATGGAGCATTCGATCCTGCTAAAGAAAAACGACAAAATTGAAAGAAAAATCAAATGGTCATGTAATCACCTCAAAAAATTTCGGCACAATTTACCCTTTACTGTCTCACACATCCGGAATCAGGACCCTTTTAGCGACTTTTTTCTCCGATAGTAGATTTGGCTAATAATCTGTCCTCAGAGATAGTTTGACCTCCTGAACACGAATATCACCTCCGGTTGACCTGAAGCTGGCACGAGCCCGTTTCACAGGCGCCGGTACCAAAATACTATAAATCACGAGATTCATTGAAAATTGTCCCCAAGGGTAGTTTGACCTTCTTCTTCTTCTTATTCTTCAGCGTTTGTCCCGCTCTGTAGCGGGGTCCGCTCTCCTGATTTTGTTACGCCATTTATTCCGGTCGAATGCCTGATCAGGGTGAGCACCAACTATCTTTAAGT